TTAACTCTCTCATTGCCTGCATCCAGAAACAGGCTTAGAAATTAATGAAGTGTCTTAAACTGTTTGAGTAGCAGTTACTGTATATTTTAGGATGTTTATCAGCCTTGTAGTTGTTTATTTGTTGCAAATCCGTGAGTCATGCACCAGTGCTATATAATAATTTATCCTATTGTTATTGCTCTCTTATGCTATTGATGTCTTAACCGCAGTGTGTAATTGTTTAGAAGCAGTAGGGATGTGTTAGTGTCTTTGTTGTCAGGAAACAGTGTGGCAAACATGGAGGAAAATTATATTTCAAATTTCCATCAGTCCACTACATTACCTACCGTCTCTTGCACACAAATTTGTTGTACGCATGACTTGGCTACACAAACAACAAAGACCAGATTCACTATACCTAACACATGCATTTGGCCATTGTTTGTCCTGTGTTATGATGTCCTCCTGCGTGCTAAAAACAGAAGGAGCTAGCTAGATTACGCAGTTAACTGGCTAAACAGCATCAGTGAGAGTAGGAACTCTGTTGCCATGGTTAAGAGCTGCTGTTATGTAACAAAGATCATTCCATGGAACATTCTTTTATTTATTTTTTTCACACTCTGGAATGAAACATTATGGATTCTGTCCATTCTGGCATATTGACTCACACTGGCATAATGACTTTTCACCTCATCTTGCCCTGATTAGCCTTTGGAAACATTTAAAATTTAAATCTTATCAACAATAAATCTGTAGTATAATTTATTGGTTTTAATTTATTATTTATTTCTACCAGTGACACATTTGTAGCTCATGGTAACTTGTGACTTTTATTTTTTTTAGCCAGCACCCTAGAGATAAAATAGATTTTAGTTTGAATTCCAAGCAAAAAAAAAAGCATTGATGATATTCTAGATAGCTGTAATAGAGTGATTTAAAATAGAAGGATTTCTCTTTTTAATATTTAACTCTGTTCCTGGCAGACCCTGTGGGACAGAGAGGCTGATGGGACAGAATCACATTGCATAATTTGAGTGAATAATTCACACTTACTCTTGCTGAATTGGTGTGTGTTGTGTGTGTGTGTGTGTGTGTGTGTGTGTGTGTGTGTGTGTGTGTGTGTGTGTGTGTGTGTGTGTGTGTGTGTGTGTG